TTAATCTCCTTGAAACCTCCTGTGATCCCTCTAAGAACGGCCTTCGTAACCCGGTCGTACGTTGGAAGACGCTGCAACTTCTCCATAGCCGCTACCTTCATGGCTTCCTCTTCGTCTTCTTCTTCATTTCTCCGACGGTTACTGTCTCTATCCATCATGATCTCCTCCTCTGAGCATGCTCTGTAATGTGCCATCTCTTCTTTTCTCTCTCTCAACTTTTTTTCTCAAATGTTATATAAGCTAATAGTCAAATGTATTTTCATAGACACCAGATTTTATTATGATATATTGACTAACATGTACTAATTGTCAAAAATTAAACAGGTGTGGATTCTGATGACAAGTGTAAATCTAGGTATTTTTATTAATTTATGACCTTATATATGTATCATAGATTCTTATATTTTGAAGAATATCTTATATATACATTGACCATATCTAAAACAGATTCTGTACCTCAGAAAAATCAAACACTTGTCTGCATTAATAGATACATGCATGCATATAGAGAAAGAAAAATAAAAGTATGCATAAATGCTTATGTGAGTAATATATATTTTTGCATACTCATATTTATTACTTTACAATGTAATAATCATCTTAATAAGGATTGTACATAAATGCTTATGTGACAATATATATTTTAGCATATACTATTGCAATAAAGGAAGCTTATATATATATATATATTTCAGCATAAAAAACTTCTTATTAAAGAGTTTCTCATATTTGACTTTTGTTTTAAAGAAATTTCTTAAATAAAACACTAAAAGTATGCAACCATTACAACCACAAAATAAGAAAAGAACTAGTAACTAGTACTAAGACCACCTTCACCGGTTTAAAACTGTGAGGGTTACTTTAAAAAGTAATAATATTTTAATAATATTAATTATATTTCAACTTTTAATTAAATCTAAACCATTGATTAAATGACACATGTATTTTGAATGAAAGCAGAACAAAGTACCGGTGTTATAATGGTACTTTGGCACCTTTGTACTTTCTTTTTCCTGTTTTGTAATTTTTTTTTATTAGAAGCACCTCTCTTTCTTACCTGCAGTGGAGCTGCTCTAAGAGGACCAATGATCCAAAAAAAGAAACTTTGAAAACATAACCTAATCATTTGTGGATGTTAGATAGATCCTGATTTTTTTTTGTTTCTTCTAAAATATATAATAAATTAGTAAAATTTTGAAACATATGAATATATTTTTATTTAAGTTTTTGAATAATGTGAAACATTTGAAATACTGTATATACTAGTTACTACCCGTGCTATCGCATATGCTCATATTTTGTTATTAGCTAATTGATTAGTATTTAAAAATTGAGTAAGACTTGAATGTGTAAATAGGAATGTAATGGAAGATTTGATTGATTAATTATAACTGTTCTGTATAATATTAAACTCCTAATTATTTTGTCAAATCTTTGTTTTATATGGTTTTAATTACTATAAAATTGTGCTGACACATGTTATTCAAGATATGTAGATACATCCTCACAAGTAGAAACTACATGGGGTTTTCTCTTTTAATATTGGATCCCCCAATAAAACACCTCCCTATTATATTTATCAAATTTCACACCTATAGTGTATGTTTTGACGGTCCAACCCGTAAAATATTAAATTTGTAAGAAATACACATCACTGTGAATAATTTGGTAGACTAACCCGTAAAAGATTGCATTCGCAAAATATAGAAATTTACATTATACTAGTTACTAACCCGTGCTATTCTCATATTTTCTATTAGCTAATCGATTATATTATTTAAATGTTGAGTAAAAATTGAATGTATAAATAGGTATATAATGCAAGACATGATTAATTACCTTTAATTGGCTAGTTAGGTGTTTTAAACTCATATTTTTGGAGCTATGTATCAAAATATATCCTCATTAGTAGCAGCTACATGCTGTTTATCAAATTGCACATATATAACTTATATTTTGACGGAACAACCCTTAAAAGACTGTATTTTCAAGAAATACACACTCACAAAAAAGATTTTATTCGATTAACCCGTAAGAGATTGCATTCGTAAAAATATCAATCATAACCTATTCTACCATATGATTGCGAGTTTTGCAACCAACCTAAGTACTCTTACAATATTATAAAATTATAATATATATATATATATATATATATATATATATATTCTAAATACATATATTATATATATATATATATATACTGAATGTTTTTAATTATTAAAGATAATTTAAATCTTTTAAAATAACATTTGAATAGCTTTGAAAATCTATGAAAATAAGATATCTTTAAGATATTAAAAAATTGATTATATAATATAATAATACTTTAACTTTTAAAATTATAATAGAGTTTAATATTTATTGAAAAATTTATTGAAAATATATATAATATTTTAAAGTTTATTTGGAGTTTAAGTACTTATAATATTTTTTAACGAAATTGTTAAAATATTTCTAATATTTGAAGGGAGATTTGCACAACTAACCTTTTTATGATACCCTTTTCTACAAGTACCCTCTCTAGATGTCCATTTTCAAAAATACCCTCTTTAATGTACAAAATGACTAAATTACCCTCCTTTATTATAACACATGATGAAGAAAGAAATATTCTTTCCCGCAAGAAAAATATTCCTTCCGAAAAATTTCCCGCCAAATTTTCCCGCCAAAAGTTTCCCGCCAAATTTTCCCGCCAAAAATTTTCGGCAAAAATTTTCCCGCCAAAAAAAAATTTCCCCCCAAAATTTTTTCCGCAATTCCTTAAAAAAACCTTGTAAATATTTATAAATTCTTTAAAAATCCTTTAAAAACCCTTGTAAATCTTTTAAAAGTCATCCAAAACCTTTCAAAACTTGAGTAAACCTTTTAAAACCATTGTAAATCATTTTATAACATTTATAAACACTTGTAAACCCCTTTAAACCCCTTATAACCGTGATAAATCATTTAATAAAAACTTTTGTAAACTTCTAAAACCCTTTAAAAACCCTTGTAAATCCTTAAAAATCATTTTAAAGAACTTGTAATACCTTTAAAAACTTTTGTAAACCCTTCAAAAACCTTTGTAAACTTCTAAAACCCTTTAAAACTTCTTGTAAACCCTTTAAAACTATTTTTAAATCTTTGTATGCCTTTAAATACACTTTTAAATCCTTTTAAAAACACTTGTAAATCCTTTTAAAAAACCTTTAAAAATCCTTATAAATCCTTTTAAAACTGTTATAAACTTATAAAAACTTATAAAAACCATTGTAAATCATTTAAAAACCATTTAAAAACCTTTGTAGGCTTCTAAAACCCCTTATAAACCATTACAAATCTTTTAAAAACCATTTAAAAACACTTGTAAATCCCTTTAAAAACCCTTGTAAACCCTTTAAAAGACCCTTTAAAAAATCTTGTAAACCCTTTAAAAAAAATTGGCGGGAAAATTTTGAAAAAATATTTTTTTTTGTGGGAAAATTTTTGCGGAAGTTTTGTTGGCGGGGAAATTTTCTCGGAAATTTTTTTGGCGGGAAAATTTTTCTCGGAAACTTTTTTGGCGGGAAAATTTTGGCGGGAAAGTTTTTGGATGGAATATTCCTTCCTTTGGGAAAGAATATTCTTTGAAATAGGGGTAAAATGGCCATTAAAATATAAGAGAGGGCAAAAATGAAAATGGTCAAAAAAGAGGGTATTTTTAAAAGAGTGTATCATAAAAAGGTTATTGGTATCAATTTCTCATATTTGAACCTATTAGAAGTTTTATGATTTATAATATTTTAAACTTTTTAAAATGGTAAAATAATAATAGTTTAAAGCTTTTTACATACATACTTTTTTTTATTTATAGATTGAGAATATATGCCCGTTTTAAAAAATCAACTTGTAACATGTGAAAAACAATTTAAAATTTTATTAGACATATGTATTATATAATAATATAAAATAAAATAGAAATTAGATGATAAATTTTGACTAATGCTGTTTCCTTGATACACTTTTGCAAAAGTACATTTTTCATTTTCATTTTAAACCTCTTATACACAATTAAAATATGTTGAATTAATTTTTAGAATTTTTTTAGGTTTGGGTTCTCTATTTTACATTTAGAATATAGTTTTGAGGGGGTAGTGTTAGTATTTGGAGTTTTGGGTTTACAATTTAGTCATTTTTATATAGAAAAAAGTATACTATAAAAAATGGACAAAAAGGGGTTTTTTTGCAAAATGGTTCTCAAATAATGTTATTTCCGCAAATGTCCCAAATAAAATCAAATAAAGGTGAAAGAAGAATAATAATAGTTTGAAATATATTAGAAAAATCTATAATATGTTTACAAATATACAATTTTGAATTTAGTAGACCAATTTTATGCGAGCAAATTTAAATTATTTCCATAAATATGAGTTAGTTATTATTTTTTATTTAATTTCTTTTTTAAAAATAGTTTTTTTCAAGAAAAAGATGCGAGCCAATGAAAAAACTCTACATGTCATTACAATATGTCCGAATATCTTATTCAAGATCCGAATAGTAAGGACCGGCTCCAGTAAAAGCATTTTATTGTCTTTAATTTTGTTTCGATACACCCTCTATAGTAATGACATTTCATGGAATATGATTTTTTTAGACATTTTTTTATTGGTACTCCTGCTTTGATTTTTTTAGACATCTTCAATTCGAGAACCCTAAACTCACAAAAAAATTTTGTTTTCTCAACTCTGATGTTCCGTCATTGCCACGGTGTTGGCTGACTCATCATCGTTAAATGGTTAACTAACACCGTTTCGATATATGTTGATTTTGGCTGATTTCATATAATTTAGGTTGAGAATTTGAATTTTTTGTGAGTTTAGGTTATTATTTGTTGGGTATCATAGTTTGGGAATAAAAATACCGCCAGCAAATAGTCTGGGTTGATTTTCGCTATTTTCCCCTACATGATATATATACATTATATAGTATATATTTTTATAAACTACATTTTATTTTTATTTACAATATGACTTATTCAGTTTACTAATATATACCTAATTTGTAAAAAATCTTTTCAAAATTTTCTAAGAAAACTCTTCAAGATTCGAGATCATGCGCATGAAAAAGTTTAGAGAACTGGCCTCTACTATTTTTCAAGCGGTCGTAACTCCCTGTCTCTACTACGGTTCCATCTGCGATCACCGCAATACAATCCAAATTGTTCAAGGTGTTGATGCGGTGAGCCACTACTACAGTAGTCATCTTCCGGCTAGCCATGATCCGAGCTAGAGCGTCTTGAACCTCATGCTCTGATTTAGAGTCCAAGGAACTCGTAACCTCATCAAGTAGAAGTATTATAGGATTTCTCAAAAAGGCTCTGGCAATGGCTATTCTTTGTTTCTGACCACCAGAAAGTTGCATTCCTCTTTCTCCACATTCTGTCTCATATCCTTTTTCCATTGCCCTTTATAGAAAAAAACAAAAAAAGAGTTGAACAAATGTAAAAAAATATGAAAGAAAACATAAGTAAAGTATAAAAAGTTGAACTACGGTCACAAGTTTTAAACTATAACTGATCCAATAAAAACAGTTGAACTCTAATACACATTTTATAAAACCTAAATTGTAAGGAGGATGAAAATAGGAGTTGTGTTTTATTTGTAAAATAGAATCATACTTACGAGATAAAGTCATGAGTATTAGCAGCTTTAGCAGCCCCTACCACCTCATCCGCGGTCGCTTCGGGTCGTCCTAGTATAATATTTTCTCGGATACTTCCAGAGTAAACAACTGGCTCTTGGCTCACTAGAGCAGTATGTTGTCTATACCATTTAATATCTATATTTCTCAATTCCACACCATCTATTTTCACACATCCTATTTCCACATCATAGAATCGTTGGATCAAAGCTATCACTGTTGATTTACCACATCCTGATGTACCAACCAATCCAATGCTTGTTCCAGGCTTGATGTTCAAGGAAAATTGTCGAAGCACCGGAATAGTAGGCCGGTTAGAGTATGAGAACTCAATATCTTTTAGTTCTATTCCCCCTAGTATTGTCTCAAATTTTTCTCCAGGGTTTGTATTTTCCTTCATGTAGCATTAGTTATTAGTAATATATGACAAATAGTTCTAAGAAAATATGTTAAATACATTCAAGATGATGAAATGTTAATGGATGTTTGTAACTTACTTGAGATGAAATACGGTCAAGGATCTTGAAAACAGAAGAAATGGCGGCAGAGCCTTTGGCAAGATCAGAAGTCATGCTTCCTGCTTCCGCAATAACCTTTCCGGTGCTTACTAAAACAAAGAACGTCTTGAATACATCCCCGGCTGAGATTTCACCCTTTTGAACCAACACTCCTCCATACCAAAAGTCTAGTGCCCATGTCAAGAAGGTTAGGCACTGCGCCAACCCCATCCCAAAGCCCGCAAGCCATGTTGCGTTCTTACCCTTTCTTTTTGCCCCATATTGAGCCTTATCAAATATTTCTATTATCTTCTTCGTGGACCCTAAGGATGTTACAATCTTGTGGTTGTATATAGCTTCTGATGCAATCTGTGAGCTACGGTTTTGTGCATAGGCATAATTATGGGAAATGTTGGAGAGCAAAACTTTTTTAGTGTAGAAGCAGAGGATAGAGAGAGGTTGAACAGCGATCATGACCAACGCGAGTTTCCAAGAAACTAGTAAACCTATAATCATAGCAATTGTCACACCTGAAATGGTCTGGACAAGCAAGGAAATTCTATCTGCTACTATGGACTTCACAATGGATGCTTCATTGCTAAGCCTTGAAGAAAGCTCACCACTGAAGTTCTCTTCCACATCAAACCAAGCAGGTTCAAAGGTAAATATCTTTTCGAGCATTTTCACCCGAAGTCTTTGCATTAGCGTTTCACCCATTTTCGCAAAACTATAATGCTGAAGGAGATTAAGGGAGATGGAGAGAACAGTGAGGGAAGTGAAAATTAAGGAGTAAATGCGTATCTTATCCTGCATTTCTTGCGAGTTTTTTGCAAAAAAAGCTGAGATCATGCCGCCAATGGTTAAGGCGTAAACCGGCTGGATTGCACCAAATGTTGCAGCTGATATGCAACCAACGAGAGAAGACTTCCACTCAAGAGAAACCAAAGGAATAAGTCTAGTGAATGAAGTATTTGGGCTATTATCATCGATTTTGGTTGTGTGAATGCTCTCCAATGATCTAGGAGACACAACAAGATCAGGAGATGACCTTATGCTTTGCCTGTTGATACTGTTCCTAGTAGCCCAATATTGTCGTATCTCAGGAGTTTTGATCCCATCGCTAAGATCTTGTCGATGTTCATGGCTGAATTCTGTTTGCAGTTTTACGAGTTTCGCATAGTGGTTGTTCTTCATCACCAAATCTTCATGAGAACCAAGTTCTTTAACGAAACCATTTTCTAACATGGCAATAATATTCGCTCCTCTAACAGTTGAAAGCTTATGTGCCACCACCTGTAACACAATAGAAGAATACTATTACCAAAACAAATAGATGCATATATGAGTTGGAGAAATGTTTAAATTACCAGTGTAGTTCTCCCTGCAGCTACTTGATCAAGTGCATTTTGAATCAATGTTTCAGATTCTCCATCTAATGCACTTGTTGCTTCATCTAAAAGTAAAATCACCGGATTTCTAATAATTGCACGCGCAATTGCAATTCGTTGTTTCTGACCTCCCGATAAAAGTGCCCCGCGATCACCTACCTGTTTTCATGTTAATGTTATAACCAAATACAAAAAAACCATAATCATGTAATTAAATTCACGCTCAAATACATACATGTGTATCATAACCATTTGGTAATTGTGTTATAAACCCATGAGCATTTGCAGCCTTTGCAGCTAAAATAATTTCATCCATTGATGCATTATCTTTCCCAAACATTATATTTTCCCTTATCGACGTTCCAAATAAAGCATGATCTTGACTCACAACACCAATGTGTTCTCTCATCCATTTTAACTGAAGCATCTTTATGTCAAACCCATCGATTCTCACAAACCCCTCACATGGATCATAAAACCGTTGCAATAATGAAATCACTGTCGATTTACCACTTCCACTAGTTCCCATTAGAGCAACTGTTTCTCCAACATCAGCTGTGAGAGTGAAGTTCTTTAGAACTACGGATTTTGGACGAGAAGGATATATGAATGTTACACACTCAAACTCAACTCTTCCCTTCATTTTATCTTTTGGTATGAATCCTTTTGTTGTATCCTCACCATCTATCTCAGAAATCCTATCAATCCTTGAACATATTCGAGCCGCCGCAACTGAAGCCTCCGAAAAATATCTTATTTCAGTCAGTGCCGTCCCTAAAGAGCTATACACAACAAACGTTCTTTTTCACTATTTCATACAATGTGAGAATATGAATGAAAGGATTCACTTACTTACATGCCACTCAAGATAAAGGAGATTCCAGCTGCATAAATGCGGCCACCGGTTTCTTGTTTGTGCATCACTAATCGGCTTCCGTACCACGCAAGAAAAGCCCAAATGGTGAATGAAATCCCTGAGCTTCCCACAGCTAAACCTTTGGCAAGACCTTTCTTTAACCCAAGCTTCTTGTGTCTTTCCAAGACCTTTGAGTATTTTTTGATAATTTGAGTCTCCGCGGTGAAGGAAAGAATGGTCTTGATGGAGCTTAGAGCCTGTTCTACAATGGAGTTTGCAATCACGTCTTCTCTGAAAGATTTCTTGGTTAAATGAACAAGATAATTGCCATAGATCAACCCTGGGATTAAAAGAAGAACAAGTGTTGGGAGGGCCACGATGGTTAATCTCCACGAAAAGTATGCCGAAAACACAAGGCCAGTGATGAAAACTGATATGTGCATCAAGAATATGGGAACCTGAGATAGATAAATTTAGAAATAAAATGATCAATTTCATAATCATGAACGTGTATTCCTAAAATTAAGACAAAACCGGTTTACAACAATTATTTTGTATTGTCTATTTACTAAAGTAAGTCACTTATTCTTATCTATCTTTAATAATAATATAATGCCTAAGAAAAACGTTATTTTTTTCTCATTATTAAGTCTGAATATATGGTTTTTGGAAATTTAGGATTTTTGTAGTAATTTTGAAAAAATGTAAAATTAAATTTTAATTTAGAGATAACAAAACAACCTAGTCCTGAAAAACAAATTTTAGGATAGTAATTAGAAAATATAGATTGTTTTAGTTATTCAATTGTATTTATTTCAAATGTTACAATTGATCCATAGGCAGATTAATATAAACTCAATAAATATAAATATGAAACATCTTAGATAATAGACATATAGATATATATTAGTATGTCCTTGTAATAAACGGTAGGTCAAATGAAAATTTGAGGGATTGGGCTATATATTAAAAAGTAAAAAATATTGCACTTTTTTTTTTTTTCAGTAAATTTTATAATATGTCTGTAAATAAAAAATAATCTTAGAAGGAAAAAAAAAACTAAAATAACCTTTTCAGAGTTTTATTTTTAGTAAAGAGTTTATTAAATTTTTGACACTTTTATTATAACAAAAGTCAACCGATTCAAATATTCAAACAAATATACTTGGTTCTCTAAGTTGTATATTTTCAGTAACGTTCGTAAACAAGGTAATGATTGTTTAGCACGTCCAAAAATTATGAATATGTATATGTCCATACTCATGTTTTTAAAGTTTCGTTAATGTTTCTTTATTTGTGGAACAATTCTTAGATTCACCCCCGAGGGTGAACCTATATCATTCACCCCCTCTATGCATATATAGTTGTCTGAAAGGATAAACTTAACGAGTAAACCCTTTATAAATGTAAAATTGTGATTTTTAATATTTCCTATACACTTGTATGGAGAGAAATTTTATTTGTGGTATTTATCTCTTAACTGAGGTTCTTAATGTTATAATTTTAATAGTTATTATAAAATTTGATTATATAATTAATTTTGAATTTGAAAGAGAATGAGACACTCATTAAAATTTCTCAAAACCTCTCAAACGAGAGACTCATTCGTTTTGTAACAGTTTAATCTCAATAAGTTTTCTATTTACCTTTTCACTTAGAAGTTGTTGGATGAGAGAAGTATCAGTTGAAATGGTGTGGATGATTTCAGAAGTGGAAGCATCCGAATCAAAGAACGAAACTTCTTGTCGAAGAACAGCTTCAAGATATGTTCGACGAATCTTTACAACTTGTCTCTCGCTTGTTTTACTCCAACAGTAACCCTCTTCACGACAAAAAAAATATACTCAATACATTTAAATATATATTTTACTTGTCAAACAATTTTAAAAACTATATGACATTACCCATAAATGCCACTCCCAGTACTGCCAATCCCAGGTATACAAAGTAGAGACTGCACTGTATAACAAAAAAAACCTTTTAATGAACAAGAATACATTTTTTTCTTGTCAACATATATTAATAAACTAAAAGAAAAGAGTATACAAAAATAAAAGCATAGAAAAGAAATTTACAAATATATATATGATTTAAACAACTAGCTTTAGTATTCTTAGAACTTTGAGTATAATTTATAAAGGACAAATGAGAAATATAATAGTCGATATCTTTTTTTTTTTTGAATAATCAAAAAGATTCTGTACCGAAACCCATACATCCTCTCAGGCCCGAGACAAGAACATGTTATATAGTATCGTACCAAACGTTACTCGAACCAACAACCTCTAAACCGTCGATATCCTTCTTTTAACACAGAAAATGGATTTGTATTTGGATCATTGTGTCTGTATTCATTAATATTAATTGAACTTCATACTATTGATAAGGGATACGTGAATATATATAAAAAGCTTCTTATATATATATATATATATATAGTATTATATAAATACGTTCAAATATCCTTCCATAAGAAGATTGCAATAATTATCTTATATTTTATTTTAATGGTAATTCTCATAAAGACCATAAAAATTAATTTTTTAAATTCCAAAAATACCATCACTAGGTAAAGTTTTTCTTCTCAAAAACATCAGTAATTTTTTGTTTTAATGAAAATACCAAGAAACTTAAACTAAAATTTATACTTTCAGAACTAAATCCTAAAACCCAAAAAAAACCCTAAATCATAGAATTAATCATTGAAACCAAATTACTAAACCCAAACCTCCTTTTAAACTATAAAACCGTAAACGTTATTTTTGTCTTTGTGCTATTTTTGAACTAAAAAGTTTGGAGTTGTATTTTTGAGAAAACTCTAGAGATTATACTTTTGGAAAAGCTTAGTTTGCTGGTACTTGAGAGTATATGTCTTATTTTGATTATATTCCTTAAATCTTTATTTACAGAAATTATTTTTCTAGAAATATTAACAATAAAAATATACAGAACTATGGAAGAAATATCTTAATTCGAGTAGAATGAATCCAATCCGTTCATTCTTTTTGGTCGTGATATCTTTTCTACTTCAATGTTTATGTTAGATGTGTGCTAGTTGTAAGAAAAATTGAACTAAAAGATAACATACCTTTTGAATCTCATCCTTGAAAGTTGTGGAATTAGGATTGTGTTGACCATAGCCCAAGGTATTCATTATCTTGCTTGCAAACACTAACGACACGTTCGTAGACATTCCATCTCCAATAGCTCCCACAGTACCAAGTACCATCAGAACTATATCTATCCAATCTGCAAACCGAAACATTACATGTGTGGTACTACTCGATTTAGATGATTTCGACTCGGTTTTCTCTCGAGATCTCATCTTATCTCTTATCTCTTTCTTTGAACTTTTTCTTAAACCTTGATGAGAAGAGTATTCATTAACTTATAAAAAGAGTGAGGCCAATGAGTGATGGTTGAAGTGTTCTACACATAAAACAGAAGGGTTGGAGGAGCTTTTGCTTTTGTATGTTTTAACAATTTAATATAGTTAGCTTTTATATGTGATGTTTGTATTTTTTATTATATCTTTTGCTTATTGTTGTTGAAAATTCTATTTCACCACATGTGGGTTTCATTTTGTTCACCGACTGACCGCATAATCCTCCTTTTTGTTTACTTTATAGTTTCCAATCAACAACCATGCCAACAAGAGAGAATGATATTTTTTTATATTTGTAATAATACCACTTACTTCGACAATCATCTATATATTATTTAAAAAAAGTGGTGCAATTTGATTTTGTGAAGCTTATAAATCATATACCACTATTAACAATATTTTCCTTTATTTTAATAAAATTTTATATATTTTGCGTAATTTATAGTTATAGATTAATAATAAATCTTTAAGCCCTATCGACTTCTCATAAATAATTTCCAAAAACCACTGATTGATCTTATATTAATCTTACTCACAAAAATAGTAGTTACATACTCGTCGATGCCATCAGATGATCAAGATCTTTGGTATAAACAATTTACCGTAAATACTATAATTTTTTGAAAATTATTTTCTTTATATACAAGTTTAAATTAACTTATCTTTTAATCTTGTAGCAAGATTTAAATTGGCACCAAGATATGACACCTAGAGTTCGTCATAAATTTGACAAAGAAGCGCCGATTCAATGATCCAACACTTTAAATGAGTGGAAGAAAAAATACGTTGTTGGAGAGACTACAAAGGGGATAAATGACAAGTTGTACGAAGTGTGCAAGAATATTGGACAAAACCCGAGACAATGGTAACGTCTTTACAAAAATCCAAGAACCGGAAAAGTAACCGAGGCGGGAAAGGGATAGCAACACACAATGCCGGGTCAACAAGCTTCTATAGCCGTGGAAAACAACTTGTAAGTTCTCACATTTGGTAGCATTTTTTTTTTAAATGAACTTCTGAAAGTGGATATTAAATTTTTCTTTTAAAGACTAAAAGAGATGGTGTGGCTCCCGATCACTTAACGTTGATGGAAAACACCCACACCAACAAAAAGACCAATGAAATTCAACACCAGGTGGCTAAACAAGTGATTGATATTTCCCAAAAGAGGATGGATGAGTTACTCTTATCCCAACTGATGTGTCTGTATATTACTCATTTTAGCACTAGTCTTATGAATTGTTTTTGTCATTCTAGGTCTCATTACTTGATCATTTATGCGTATTTGCCTTGTTTTTCTTCATTTGTAGAAGCTTTGCATTGCATGCATTGTAGTGTTTGTGCATAAACAGGTGTTTACCCAAGGGAAAAGAAGCAAATCAGAACAAATCGACCAAGTGTAGATGTTGCATCCGATCGAGCAGGAGGATCCGAGCCATGGAATCGTTCGAGTGTTCGAGTTGTATTAGGGTTTTTCTTCATTTTGCTTTAGAATTTTTAGAATTTTGTAAACTTCATATATTTTGATCTGTTGAGTATTTTCTGTTGCTTCTTTGTATTATTTTGCTTCTCTCTCTTAGATATATCTAGTTATGCATGATTTAGAGATTTTTAGGTTTCAGTTCTTAAGTATGTTTGTTAGATCTTAGAAGATTCCTTAGGTTTTGGGGATGAGTTAGATGTGTAGGTGGAGAACTTTAGGTAGCTAGGTTGCCCATAGGTAGAAATGTTTAGATATCCTTCTAGTGGTGATTAGTTCTCAGGCTTCCACGCCCGAGAGGTGTTCGATGGAATGCCGGATAATCTAATACCAGAGAATTTCATGTCTAGCCCAAGAGATTGTTTGTCAAAAGTGTTATTTGACATTAATGAGCTGAGTCTTAATGTCTATACATTTCATGGTTCATCAACCAGAAGCTGAGATTTGGAATTGATTTGAATTTGATAGCCTTTGTCAAGAGATTGAACCGTTTGCTTATGAGCTTGTTGTCTAGGAAACATCACTATTTGTGTTTGATGGATTTAGCAACCTAGTGAACTTAAAGATCTCCACTGAAGTCACCATCTCATCCCCAGAACCTCCCTTTAATTGATTTATTTACCTTGTTTCATTTCTGTTCTTGCATTTCTAGTTCACTTCATGTTCTTATTTTTGTAGTTTCATTTCTGTTTTAATTCAATGTTGTGTCTTGCTTAGTTTCTGCTTGTGTTAAATTTAGTAGCTAATAGTTTAAAACCTTTCATGCTTGGCTTAACTTGTTAAATAATTTAAAACCTTTCATGCTTGGCTAATAGTTTAAAACCTTTCATGCTTAGCTAATAGTTTAAAACCTTTCATGCTTGGCTTAACTTGTTAAATATTGATTGCATCTAAACTGTTTGCAAGCGTCCTTATGGATCGATAAAGCCCTTTATACTACAATAATACTGGGTGATTAATACCATTAGCAGTAAAAAAACTTAGTATCAATTTGGCGCCGCTGTCATTTGGATGTTTAAGTTGTTCCAGTTTGGATATCAATTTAGCAAGATTAAGTTCTATAACATTTTCACTTTGAATACTGATTTGGTTTGCTTGTCTGCTTGTCTGCTTGTCTATCTTGCTTTTCAGGTACCACTCGATCAAGCAATCGACTGGTCGAATCGATTACACTGATCGAGCACTTGTTCAATTCCGTGTATACAAACAAGGTCTAAAGACAGTCAGAATCTTCTCAGGTATCTCGACAACATCGATAGACTTCCTAAAGCTTTAAGACAGCAAAGAGATCAGTTAAGAAAGGATACAATAGACGTTGCGATGGAACCTCAACAGAATGCGAATCAAAGGCGTGCAACACACATAGGTGCAGGAGATGATCCTAATAGCCATGTCCAAAGGTCCGGGATAGTACCACCAGCTGTTCGGAATAATAATTTTGAAATCAAGAATAGGCTCATATCCATGGTGCAGAGCAATAAGTTTCACAGTTTACCAATGGAAGACCCCTTTGACAACTTGATCGAGTTCGACCGCCTTTGTGGTTTGACCAAGATCAACGGAGTAAGTGAAGACGGATTCAAGCTTCGTCTCTTTCCTTTCTCACTCGGAGACATGGCTCATCAATGGGAAAAGGGTTTGCCTGCTGGTTCTATAACTACTTGGGAGGAGTGTAAGCGTGCTTTCATGTCCAAGTTATTTTCCAACTATCGCACAACCGGTCTTAGGAATGAAATCTCAGGCTTCGCCCTGAAGAACAGCGAGACGTTGTGTGAAGCATGGGAACGGTTCAAGGGATCTCAATCTCAATGCCCACACTATGGGTTCACTAAGGAGTCCCTTCTCAGCACACTATACATCGATGTGCTTCCTAAGATCCGCATGTTGCTCGACACCGCAAGTCATGGAAACTTCTTAAACACAGATGTGGATGAGGGATGGGAGCTGGTTGAGAACCTTGCCCATTCTAACATGAATTACAATGAGGAGTATGATAGAACCAATAGGGGAAGCTCATACCATGAAGAGAAGTATAAGAAGGCCTTCAAGTCTTTAAGTGATAAGATTGATAGGATACCCATGGCACAGTAGAAGTCTGTTCATTTTGTCTCTGACGAGGAGCAATTCCAGCAAGAAGGGGAAAGTGGTGGTACCGAGGAAGTTAGTTACTTGAATCAAAGAGGATTTCAAAAGGGTTTCACAAACTACAAGGTGAATCCCAACCTCTCGTACATAAGCACAAACGTAGAAAATACTCAAGACCAAGTCTACCCGCAAACAACAGCAAACTCAGAACAAGCCTTTTGTATCCTTCAATCAACAACAAGGATTTGTCCCCAAGCAACAATTCCAACAAGTTTACTCCGCACCTCCACCGGGTTTTCAACCGTAGCAAATGGCCTCACCACAGGATATTGACTTGAAGATAATGATTCAATAAATGGTACAAAACCAAGTTACATTCGCTTTGGAGAGATCAAAGAAGCTAGCTGCAATTTAAAGCCAAATGACATCGAATTACAATGACCTCAATCTGAAATGCGATGCCATATCCATCAGGGTAACATCTCTAGAAGGGAGAGTAACCTCCACTTCTTCTGGCCAGCTACCAGGAAAGTCTATTGTCAACCCCAAAGAGTTTGCTTCTGCCCATGCCATTACTTTACAGTTCTCTGAGGACAGTGAAGATCAAGTTGGGGGAGATTTTATGCAGATCGACCAGGCTACTCGACCAAACAATCGACCAGGCTACTCGACCAAACAATTGACCAGGCTACTCGACCAAACAATCGACCAGCCAATCGAGTGCCTAGTCGAGTGCCTTCCACCACTATCCAAATGGTTGCATCTCAGGTCAAGGCTCCAATTTTCAGAGAACCACTGCCATTTCCAAGAAGATTCAAGGCAGAGATCAAAGAAGAATACTACAAGATCCTTGACTCTCTATCTGGACATGAACATGTAGCTGCTCTAGTTGAAGCCTTTGCTCATTTTCCAACCTACAAGGCTATTATAATTTTTTCTTTCTCTTCTATCTACCATCTATTCATCTTTTTCTTTTAGTTATTCACTAGAGCAATTATGATCTGGAAGTCGATCTTGGGCAAGTATTCGAATGTATTATGACATATCCGTAGGGTGCTCAATGTACCCTTTTTGATAATTAAATTTTTTTTGTGCGCCTTTATATTGGTACCCAAAGACCTTTTTTATAACTTAATCGAGTGTTACATATCTCAATTATTAAGTTCTGAAATGTATCATATTTTCTTATAGAGAATATTATTCTATTTCAATAAACGGTTATTAGTCATTACTAATAAACAGTCTAGTATTGATATTTAGTTATTTTCAATTATCTTTTATTGGTTTTAATAGTCGAAAATAATAAATAGAAAAACCTAGATATGATAGATATTCTCATATTCATGTGATAACTCTATATTTTCACATTTTTTAG